GGTCAGAGGGTGGATATGGACTCAATTGTTTTGAATAATTGGACAGAGTCTGTATAATAAAGAACAACTGGTTCAAAGGTCAATATTAACGAATTACTATATTATTATTATTATTATCTCCGCCAGGAGATAAATGTTTTCGTTTTGTGATGTTGGTGTGGGTGTGTGTGTGTGTAACGCTTTGCTATTTTAATTTTTTTTTTTTCTTGTGTACAAAATATCTCAAATACGGCTCCACAGACATAATTGAAAATAACAGGGAGTGTTATGTATAACTCAATGAAGAATTGATTAATTTTTGGTGACTGTCCGGAGTAAGGTGTGGATGTGAGGACCATTTAAAGGAATTTGTCCTAGACAAGATATTTCAAAAACTAATCACATGACTGGTTTGAAATACATTTTACAACAAAACTAGACATGGACTTTTGCTGCGTATGGCACTAGACTTGCAAAATGTAAATCGAAACTAATCAGCCAAGCATGACGTGGGCCTGTTCCATTAATGAAGGGGGAATCAACTTTCGCTGCAGTCCAATGCTGTGAACAACGCTTCCCAGTGCGTCTGCTAATGTTTAATTGTCAGGGTACTGCAATCACGAGCTAGGCTTATGTGGGCTGGGATTTGCATCAGGGTCTTAGACTAGGCCTCTATACTATAGTAGGAGGCCTAGTCCTAGACTAGGCCTATAATATAGTAAAATTCTGTATAAGTAATCATATGTTTACAGGTTTACATTGTACCATTAACGATCACATTTTTTTTCATTGAAAATAAAAAAAAAATAAATAAATAATTAAAAAAAAATTAACATAAGGATTTTAAAATATTCCAAACCTGTACGCTTCAAAAAGAAAATAAATAAATAAATAAAATAAAAAATAAATAAGTTAACTTAAAATATAAACAACGCGATAGGATATGAAGTTCCATAAAGGAGGATTTAGGATTCTATTTAAAATTTGCTGAAGAAAAATTAACTGTTAACTGCGTTGTTACTGGTTAGAGAACATAGAATGGTACAAGACTTTTTTTTTTAAGAACTACAATGTCGGGGCCACTGATTCTACAACTCCTGATTATGTAGCAACCCCAAAACGAATGGCACTTCAGACGAAAAATACAGTACAGTATACCAATTCATTATCGCAAACTTCATATCCTATCGCGTTGTTTGTGTTTTAAGTTAAATTTAATTTTTTTTTTTAAGTCTACAGTTTTATTTTTGAATATTTTAAATTCCTTAAGTTAAAGTTATTTATCTTTCAATGGAAAATAAAATGCGATCGTTAATTTCGACCTTGGTACAATTTAAACCTGAATTCATGACTACTTATACAGAATTATACTATATTATAGGCCTAGCCTAGAGGCCTCCTAGTCCAAGACATTGTTGCAAATCCCAGCCCATATAGGCCTAGCCTATAATGCCTAGCATAGAGTTGGTGATCGCGCTTGGCTGATTAGTTTTGATTTACATTTCGCAAGTCTAGTGCCTCTAATTTATTGATTTTTCGTAGTATTAGCACATTTCGAAAAACGCCACCAGCATCAGTTTATGTCGAGAAATAGAGATATAATAAGAATTAATAGTTTAATAGCTCTATGCGAGAAACTTTTTGATGCGAATTAGAAAAATCCCAGAAAAAGTATACTATGGAACGCCATGCAAATAAGTAATATGAAACGCCATTGGTGCAAAAATCGTTTTTGAAAAATTAAAGAACTTCAAAAATTATAACTTTTGGGAAACCAGATTTACATTTTCAGAAATTTACGCCTATGTTTTGATAAATTAGACATTGAATTTTGCACTTACATTTTGATTTTAACATGGACTTTTGCTGCGTATAATAATAATAATAATAATAATAAGATTTATTAAGCGTACATCTACACTAAAGTGCCCAAGGCGTATGGCACCCCATAAAAAACAGCTCACTGGTTTAAATGCCAGTTACAGGGATTGTTAGGTATAACCCAAGGATGAGTTGATTAAATTTTGGTGACCAATCGGCATAGGGTGTGCATATGAGGACCACCTAAAGGAAAAGATCCCAGGCCGTATGTTTCAAAAAATAATCAGAAGATATGATTGGAACCCTCGTGAAAAGTTTAACCGAGTTACAAGGAACAAATTGTGAGGGCCATTAAGACCCAGACCTAATTATCTCTTGATTGGATCAATGGTTGAAAATGATAGTTTTTAATGATAGTTTTTCATGTTTTAATAAAGAAGTGTTTAAATTTTGGTCACGATCCGACGTATGGTGTGTGGATATGAGTACCATTCAACGAAAAGTTTACCGTATTACCAGTAGGCTGAAACAATAGGTATAAATGAATATTTAAATTAGTTCAATTACAGTAAATGTGTACAGCGTTTCAGTTTTTTTTCCGGAACTTATTTGGAATACTTTTAATGCACCTTTACATTTTATCATGTGATGCTAAAAGCCAAATCTCCATTTTTCTATTTTCAAATGTCCATTTCAACACCAATACATTGCACGCACTTTGTTTGTCAGCTATAAAGGGTAAAACAACGTACCAGTATGTTAAGTCAGAACGTGGTAGGGAATGGTAGGAATTGGCAGGTGCACAACTGAAATATTAGAAGGCGTTCTAAAAATGAAGCGATTATATTTTGGGATCACGGACCATTA